CAGAAATGATTCCCAGACCAGAAATGATCACCAAAATGAACCACAAATGATCCTGAACTGAAAATGATACTCAAATTGTGGCCCACAAATGATCCCACAGAAAAAAAAAATAGGAATACAGACATGGAGTTTTTGTAAGCAATAAATAGTTGGCTACTAGATCTTGAGGAAGTGAGTGCTATCCACCTCCCAGCTTGCTAGGGTCATGAGCAAAATAGTTTCTTGGAGCTACTGCAAGCAAAGACGAAATTTCAGCAGTCTATGCACCTGTCCCTACTATTATTTCCCCGACTCGTTTTAAAATAATTCATCAGTTGAAAACAAAGAAAATCACCACTGTTATGGAGGTTTGGATACCCGGTCTTAATTAGCATAGATTTTGACGATTTTGCTTCTCCATTTACTCCTTAGTTTTTGTTTTGATTGAGAAGATATATCAAACACTCAAGACAGAATTTCCTCCGCTATCCAAACACCTCAAATTTTGTCAAAAATACTCCGCTGCGTGTTGTATTTTCACATCTCTTCCTGATGAAACACTGTTTCTCGTGTTTAATATATTACATGACCTAACCAGTCAACTCCACCTCAGGGAATAATTATATATTAAGCAAATTATCAATGAACCTCACTTCTAAATTGTTTTCATCCAACTGCGAGAATTATGTGAGAGCTCTCAAGTTGATTTGTCGCCAAAGAGTGAGATTTTTGACAGCATAGCCATCCACCCATTGTGATGCTGTAGGCATCACCTTTCTAGGAAATTTTGAAAAATTGAAGTAGCTAAGATGTGTTTTCTTTCATTGTGAGCAGCTCTGCACAAAACGTCCTACTACTGGAAAGTGTTCAAAGCAAGCACAAAGCAAACAAGAAGAAAATTATATGATAGTTTCAGCATGAGAGCACAAGATTGAATTCATTTGTTTGAGTCTCGTGCACAATGCACGAGACTTGAGAGCTCTGCTTAAAATGATTGATGACCTTTTGAGCATTTTTGGTATGCCACAATTGATATATTATTGGCCAACATCCCTTTGCAACTGTGTTCTACTAGTTCTACTAGACTGAGCATTATGCTTTTCAGGGACAAAAAAAAGGAAGGAAAAGAAAATGAAGAAACGCCTGACACCAAGGCTTTGATACAACACTCTCACCAAGCTACATTGCATACTTGATTAAAAACTAAATAAGATTCTCTTTTCCAATTTCATCACTCCCATGCACATAAAGAGGAGTGATTTTCTCTTTACTATGCCTTGAAAGAGCTCAGGAGCACTTTCCTGAAATTGTTCTTGTTCATAAAGAAGCAAAAACACTATGAAATGCTTCCAACTTCTCATGTTTCTTTTAATACAACACTTTGGACTTGCTGGTCTTAATTTCCAGTGACGTAAGAGTCTTTCATGTGTTATCCAATCAGTGCAATGACTGGATTTTGGACATCATTATGGAATTGTGTCCATTGAAACACATTGATTGAACATGTAAATTAGCTTCCAAAAAAGTTAACAGGGCATGCATAACTAGATGCAGAGATGCTGAGAGATGTCAATCATTAAAATCTCAAGTGTATATCAATATCAAAACCCTTGTTCCTGAAATTTGCTTGCGAAGCCTCAAACTATTCATCGTGTAATGATAGACATGATTAGCAAGGCCATCTTGATTTAACTGCTATTGTTGAGAGGTACATCATTTAAATTTAATAAACACAAGAGCTTTGTGTAAACAAGTCGATAATAATGTTGTCAATCAGACCGAATGAATAAACTTTTCAATTTGCCTAGAGATATTGGCAAACATATTGATTGGTTCAAACGTACATACCGGTATGATATCGCCATATTAACAAACAACAGAAAGCTGTGAACAAATGTGGACCTAACTTCTTTCTTCAAAAATAGTCAATACAAAATACCAGAAAAAAACTTTAGTCGCCTTAGTCCTCCTGTGAGATCCAGTTATTTACTGGACAGCGCGATAAAAACTGACAAACGCAGTGCTTGGAGCTACT